CGTTAAAATTTTTACTCTTTTTACTATCTACAACATATATATATGTTGTAGATAGTAAAAAGTAAGTGCTTTCCAAGAAAATATTACTCTCCACAACATATATGTGCTTATTTGAAAAGCCTATTTAACTGTTTCAGTTCGTTATTTATATCAGTTATTACTGATTTATATTTGCTCTTTTATATTCATACAATCATTAAGTCATTTATCTCCATTTCTAGAACATATTTTGAGAAATGAATCGAATTACTTATATTAAAAAAAACTGAAATAAATATTCATAAAAGCAGTGCAACAATGATGGTTTTGAACTTTTAGAAGGATTACATGTATTCAAAAGACTTAGTTATCAGCATTCAAGTTCTTTCCGAAATCTATAGTTTTGATCATTTTTTGAAAATATTGTTAGTTGGAGTTATAGATTGCATACGCTTATTTTTAAGTGTAGATTTGTAAAGGAAATTTCAGATTCAGATGTATGTTACAAAATTATTCGCTTCAATCTTTTAATTGTCTTATTCTCACTACTAAGAAAATTGTATCAAATTAGTTTTTTTTTCCTTTTTGAGGTAAAATTATTGATGTGAATCAAATTTTTGTAAGTAGAAACAAAATTCCTTTTTGCTGCTATAAGCATTAATTATTATTTAATTAGTTAACTGGTGCGGTATTTTAACTTTGAAAAACAAAAGAAATATGTTTTTTTATCATCATATAAACAATGATTTTGTTTTTATGTGTCGCGGTTTTGATTTTCAAATAATCACTATCTAATAAAAAATTTATTAGCATATTTTCTGCAGACTGCTTCATAACTTCTTTTTTAAAAAAGGTCGCTTTTATAAAACTGTTGACGTATTTTATGTAAAAGTTTCAAATAAACTCAAAACTGATTTATATTTCATTATTAAACAATTCTGCAATGTTGATGAATTATACAACCATTACAGATTTGCAAATTGTGTCAATAGACCTAAACCTATTTCTGTATGCTAAAACACAGTTTTTGAATAGTGTCGTAGTTATGCATCATTTTATGCTATCATTCAGTTATTACCATCAAACAAAATTAGAACCAAAATCTGAATAATGAGCATTGAAAATTTGTATAAATCAAAAAAGTATCATATATAGTATTTCAATCCATTTCAAAATGTTTGTTAAATGCCAAAAAACATCTAGATTTAAAAGTACCAAATGTTCATATTGATAACATTTTGCACTGTTAAATAATTATTATAGACTTCATTACCTTTTGCATTTTAAATAAATAGTAATAATTATATTAAATTTAAAAAAATATTAACTTTGTTTAATGCAGTCGTCATGAAAAGGTTTTTTGTGCAATGTGATTTGTATTCAAGTGGTCATTTGAGTTTTCTACGTTTTTTTGGTCTTTTCATTTGAAGTTTTTTGTGAATTACTTTTCTGACATATTGACAATTTTTAAGAGTTCCAAGAAAATTCAGAATTTCAATGACGCAGCTGTTTTTTCAGTTCAGTTAACAATTTAAATTGACAGTTCTGAAACAATTGTTCTAAAAACAAAAAATATCTTATTCTTAATTTATATTTTTGAATAGCAAATAGAGTTAATAATAAGAGTTTTCGGTCTTAAGTAACAAAATATATTCACATGCAAACAGCTTCCTTGTTATCTTTGTGTCTCTTAATTTTTGGTTTTCATCTTGTGTTCAGCACTGTTAAATAAGGACATTGACAACTGGATTTTAAATTCTTTTAAGCATCTTAAATATAGGCTTTTTATCAAATTGGTAGAAAGAGATTACTAATAGCAACGCTTTCATTACCTCAAAAAATACATAACAAAGCAGATCATAAAATATTGTTACTTGCAGTCTTTCGTTACTAGAAACTTCTCTGCAAATAATTTTTCGCTTGGCACCATCATAAATTCATTTTGATTTTAGCCATTTGATTTACCAACAAATTTTCCATGACTTTTCTACAATCATTACATCAGCTTAGTAATTTTATAGCACCATAAGAGCTAATGGCTGAATATTAATTTAAATTTGACATGTTATTTTTTTTGCTTCGAAAGATAATTAGTATGGTCCCAAAAAATTTTGAAGCTAACATTTTTGTTGATTGTGAAAAGGGCGTAAAAATTGAGGTTAGTTATGAATGTTCACTTGAAACAATATGAATAACTGTTCCGAAGTAAAAATTGAAATGTAAATAGAAATTTCTTTAAATTATTTTAGAATTTAAATTTAAATTTTTAACTTTTTCTCAAAAATCATAGACGATTTAAGGGTAACGATTTTTTGATGTTACAAGATTTGTTGCAGTGTACTCCTATTAATCAATAAAATTAACTAAAATTGACAACACAGGAAATTAATTCTTCTGAAACATTTAAGAATATCCAAAAAACCTGGTATGAAAAATAACGACTTCATATCTTCAGAGCCCTCAGTGAAGCAGAAAGAGCTGCGTCTTTCAGGGTTCACCATATCCTTCCGATTTTTAACGTAATTCTTGCCTTTTTAAAATTTTACCTTCAAGTTGCAGTTCGCGGGTTTTGTGAATGCTTAATGCAAATAAAATTTGCTCTAATTAATCGAAGTAGCAATGAATGAAATTTTTAAACAGTGCGTCACAATGGTATTATTCATGAAAGCATTGTAGAAACTTTGCCGTTTTATTTTCTGATATTATTTCACAAGTGATTATAGCGTATGATTTAGTTTTGATTTCATATTAGGTCAGTATTTGGAAATGATTTCAAGTTATCAGCCGTTACAAATAAGGAGAGACAGCTTAGTAAATATTTAGCATGTTCATTTAGTGGTTTTCGAGTTATTAATGTTGTGATAATAATTGAAAACTTGACTGCCATCTTTAACAAAATTCTTTTACAGATTTTTTTTTGAAAAACTAACTGCACACCGGCATTCAGGTACAAAATGTTGTATCAAGCATTTATTCTCGCTATCATTCTATTCTCCAAACAACAAATGGTTCATGTCAGTTTTATATTCAAATTGAGTGCATCTTAATAATTGGAATCTGCAAGTATTTACGAAATACTCAAGGAATATTTTTCAGGGTATATTGTCAAAAATCTTTCCACAGCACTTCCACCTTGATCAACCAATAATGCATGGGAACAGCGCTTTATCATTCACTAAACGTGAAGCAGCTAAAGGTAAAAAACTATTAATAATTTTTTGATTGCAATTAACAAGTTTAGTTTATAATATCGGCTTGAAGTACCGCTCATATTACTTACATGAAAGTCTATCAATCCACAGTGTAATCAAACATACTTGATTTTTCTTAATTAGAAAACAATTCATACTATCAAAAAGTTTTTTAATATATTGAGCACATTACTTTTGTGAGCATAATTTATATATTAAATAGTACTTTATCCTGCAAAAATGCTCATTTTGATGATGATATCCATGAGTTAAAAAGTGATTTCTAACATTATTAAGAAAATCTTCTTGCATTTAAAAAATAAGAAATTTTAATGAATGAGAGCAAATACTTATCCATATTTGCTACCATTATGTTCAGATGTTTGCTTTTCTAAAAAGAAAGTTTCCAAAGACGATCATCAAGTCTTGTTTATTCACAGTTAGATTGTAACCATATTTAATTTATTGGTCTGTTAATTTCAGGAAAGCTATAAAGTGTGTTATTTGACAAACATTATTTAACGTTAAATACCTCAACATATATTTTATTAGAGAAATTTTTTTGCTCCAAAAAAGATAAAAATTATCTGTAGTTACGTTCGCAAAAATAAGTAATAAAGGTACTGAATTTTCAATAATCATATCGGTACTTACTTTTTTATTAAGAAATAAAGAGCAATTCTCTGCTTCATCTATAGACAATCAAAATTGAATTTATTTCCAGGCTATCGATGGGAAGAATGTGAATTTTCTCCTTTGAGCTGTTTGTTGAGGCGTCGAAAATAGCGTCACTTTCGAATGAAGCATTCATGATTACACCAGAATCAGAAGGAATTTTGACTTCGATGTCTTAATTAGCACTATCTTTACTGCAATCTTAGTAGCTAACAAATTAATGAATGATGGATGATAAGTCCTTTTTGAAAATGAATGCTTGGAATTGGTGTTAATTAATTACAAAATGCACTTAATTTTTCACAAAGACTGTCTCATAATTGCCGATACCAAAAAATTGAATTTTATCACCTACTTCTTGGCAGCAAAATTAACAAAGTCAGTGGTTTAAAGCAGCGAAAAATTTTGGAATGAAATCAAATTTGTTTTAAGTCACAAATAATTGAAAATACTGAATAATTGATAGTTTGCTGTTCGCGAGATTTCTACCATGCAAGTAGAACTAAGTATACTTCAAAATTGATTGCTTCAAAAGTTGGAAAAGACTACCATATTATACTATTTGCAATTTTACTAATGAATTCAGATTCATAAAGTTTAATCTCCAGTTCTTCGAAAGATTTTAATTCAATTTAATTTTTAAAATTGTTAATACATTTTCTATTAAAGTACTGCTCTCCTACATGTTAATCTTTTTTATCGTTTCAGCGGTATATTAATCTGCACTTATCTTTAATGTCTTCGTCTTATAGAAATATTAAAACCGAAAATTGACATATCAGAGCGAATTAAAAAAGTGATTAGTGCAATGATTAAATAATATTTTACCACACAATCTATTAGTTTTTTATGGTTTGCACCAAGGAGCAATATCTTCCCTACAAAGACAAAAATATGCATAAATGAGTCTTAGAAACATTTGTAGATGATAGCGAAGAACTATTCGATTACATCATGTCATGATGATAAGATGATAATGTACTGCGATATCGACCGGAATAACAACAAAAACCTTCATTTGTTATTAATGTCATGTTGAGATTTACATTTGAGAGCTCACTTTCATTTGTAAGATATAACGACAAAATTCGGCATGGTTTTGTAATTTGGTACATGCATGCACAACACAAGTGATGACCTAAGAAAGAGAACAAACTTCAAAACTGATAACTCATTATACACTGAAAATCTTGCAAACACTGTACAAACGAGCCCGAGAACAAGCACCTTGTTCTGGGATGAATTAAACTACAGAATGAATGCACTTGTACTCAATCATTCTATACACAACTATTCACTATACATTTTCTGCAATTATTATTCTGGCATTTTCCGGAATATTTCATTACTCTTAATATTTTTCGCTACTCTGCATTAATGAGCAAACAATTAATATAGCTTGATTAAAGCAATGGTGCTAGTAAGCAAATTAATTTCCCATGTTCAAAAACCCGATGATAAAAATTAAAACCCTTTAAGGAGTTTTGATAATAAATGACTGGGATATGCCCTCAAAAATTCATATCTAGATTAAAACATACAGTCTGCTTCATGGTGTGTAAGTTCCTATAATGAACAAAATTTTTTTGCTTTTATCAACACTTATCCACATTCATCAAGAAGAAATTTACACGTTGATCCTTTAATCACAGCAAGCGTTATTACCTTAAACAAACGTAACTTTTGAACCGAATATCATTTGATTTTGGACCCACAGCCATCCTCCAATATTGCTTGTTTCCAAAGTTTTTCTGCTACTAAATTTAGAAAGAAACCATTTCTTAAAAAAAACAAACTAATTCATATTAAATAATTATAAAAACATTCGATTAACCTAAAAAATTATATCATTCTTAACTAATACCACCCATCAAAAAAGCCACCCTAGAACTGTATGCAATTCTGAAACTTGTCACAATATTCTGAATTATTACGCAAACAAAAATTGCAATATTCGTAGCATCTAATGTCAATGCAACATTTCTTCTTATTCTTATCATCGTTAATTTTTGTCAATCAGAAAATTGATTTCTGAACTCCCTTCTTGGTTGGTGTTATGACTTTAGATTGATACAAAGTAGTGAATTACTCTGTCAGGTGACCTGATTGTGTTTTAGACTCATGCTATACTAGTACTGTACTTGTAGCTTAAGTCAAAGCTAATTCAAATTATGGGCTACCGTGTAATGCTTCAAAGTGCCTATCATTTTCCTCATGTGTTGTATTTTAGATCTTTACAACGCAAATGGCTGGAAGTCTAATAAAGTAATGACGAAGGGAAATTTGTTTTTAGAAGCATTAAACCACAATTTAATTAAAACTGAAGTCGGCTAGTGAACCTCAGTTTTAATTATTTATTCTTTAAGATTAGGCTGTGTAATCAGGTTATTCAACAACATATTTGGATTGTTTAATTACCAGGATATAGAAGGCCATTTTTCTTACTGATATTTTTTCAATAATTCTGGAATTGAAAGAGTGAGATTGTTATTGCAGGAGTAGTATGTACTACTAACATATATTTCTAACAACTTACTCGTCATGATAATTATTTGGCTGCGCCATGTCACGAATCGATTTGAAAGGTTTTACTCCAAGAGATACACATAACGACAACTTACTGGACTTTGATCTCAGAACTTTACCTGAAGATGATGTACGTTATTTTATGTGAAAGCCATGAATATAAATTAATTTCGTTTTCCACTGATCAGTTTTAGAGTTGCGAGAGTTAAGATCTGTAAAGTTTCTGAAATTTGAAATCTATGTGGGACTATTAGTTACTTTCAGGAGTTTGATGGCAGGCTATCAGAAAGCAACATTAATGCAATAAATGATGAGACTTTTGGAGTGGACATTGATAATAACTTGGATGATGATCTGGAACTATATTCGGAACAAGTAGGATTCATATTTTTTAATAAGTACAGCCAGTGTATTACTATAATCAATATTTAACATCATTTTTCTCCGCAGTATGGGTTTGACTTTGTCAAACTGTGAATGTGGAGTATTTGCGTGCAATTTGCAAGTTAATTCTACGTGTTCCTTGTATAATTTTCATCCTTATTTATTAATTGTTAAGGTTTCCTGTTAGCAGTAACACACCAGGAAACCATGCTTTCATAATATGAGATTGATTTTAATCAATTATATATTTCATCCGCTGAAAGAGTAAATTGTATCATAATTGCAGACGGCGGGTTTACGTATGGAAGAACCAACTCCATTTTGTTCTGATGAATCTACTTCTGCTCCGGATCCATCGGAACTACCGACACCCCCATTTGTATTTGATTCATTTTCATTAACTGGCTTAACATTTTCGAATGATAAGGAAAACGTCAAAGATTGCAAGACTAAAAATGTACAAAATTTTGATATGATTAAAATATTGTAATTTAATTGAGTATTGATTTTAAAACTCTCTTCTAAAAATGTTTGAGCCAAAAAAAAATCTGGGATCATCTGTCGAGATATTCATACTCAAAGCTTTTCTGTACATATTAAATATACCATGTGTCATAAAGGTTTTTGTTTACAATAGTTTTAGATCAGAAACTAAAATACTATTTAGTTTCCGATGTGCTTTAGGAAGCAAATAATATGGCTTGGGACGATACTAGCACTTCGGCGCCATTATTAAATTGGAGTGGTCCAGAATTTTCTTCATGGCAGCATTCTATTAATGATTTGAAAACAGTTTCACATCGAACCAATTTACAAGCGGTAAGAGTTTTATTCAAGAAGATTTGTATTTGGTTTTTTTTTTCAGAAATTATATATTGTTTCATTTTATGAAATATTTCAAATTTTATGATTTTGTTTCGTGTGAGACATTTAATATGCTAAAGAGTTTGGCTCAATTTTCTTTAATATATCAAAATATTGTTGCTAGATACTTATAAACTGATAATTTTGGACGGTATACTTCGTTTAAAATATAGTGTCATTCCATTCGTGGTGTGTTTGAATATACATATACTTTTGTAGAATAATGAATCGTTCGATCAGCCACGTTTCTTTACTGATGATAAAGATTCAGTAACAAATCTATTAAAGAATGTACTTTCACTTGAAGAAAGAGAAGGAGATAGTGTTAATGTGGCTAAACCTACCACTACTGCAGCACCACTTCTTAAAGGTTAATCAGCATGGACGTTTTAATGATTTTTTGTTTTCTCACTAATTATAATATTAAAGTCAGTGCTTACTACTGTCACACAATTGTTATCTTTGTGGACAATGTGACTGTTACCGGTCATTGAACTTTTGGCTTCTAGAAGGTGTTGTAACATTAGCTGAGTTAGAAAAACAACTTTTGGCGGATTCGGCAGCTAATGCTTCAGTAGCTTCATCTGAAGTGGATCGAGCTGCAACTGTTTTGTCAGATCCACGGATAACGCCAAGGATTCCTCCACCTTTTCCATATCAGTACTTGCCATTCCCTTCTTTACCTCCATTTTCAATGGAAATTTTAAGAGGTATACTTCATATATTTATGAAATTAAAGTAGGAAAGAAAAAGGTACAAAGACTATCTGCATAGTAAATAAATAAATAGTGAATTGTTTTGTATCTAATATCTCAGTGTTTTCGACATCAGTTTTTATTTCTTGAAAGCATACAAAGAAGGAACAAATCTTACTGAGTCACAAGCTTCCCGAGCTAATTTATATTTGATGCGAACTTCCTGGTAAGTTCATATCTGATGCATGTACGGTTTCAATTATTTTCAAAGACTTAATTTTTATCTTCATATTGTTTATTTCAAAATTACAACTCACTTCCTAGGTCACCTACCAGAAATACCTCCCGGTTTTCCGCCTGTGACTCCACAAATTCGAGCTGCAGTACTTGCGCAACTTATGCCACCGCCTTTTCTACGAATGCCTTCAGCATCCATGCTTCCGCCGTTTTTTTTTTCACCTCAGTTTTCTCAAACAAGGTTTTCGAGTTCATGGAATTTTTTGTATTTCCGTGCGCAGTTTTTTTCTGATTTTTCTTTGTCAATCACCTAGTTTGTGTGGAGTAGTTCGTTTTTTATTATGGGCAGAAAAATTCAGTTTCAGACCAGCTCGACCAGTACCACCTTCACTTTGTAATTCGCAGTTTGGAGTCCATACACATATTTCAAAGATTTCACGTCATAGTAACTCGGATCTTAACTATACAAGCAAACGCATTTGCTTACCATCTAGTAAAACGATATCTGACTTTGCACTGTCACCTTTTGCTGGCTTCGTTTCAAGAAAAGAACGTGAATGGCTTATCAAAATTCAGCAATTACAATGTCAGGGATGTGGCAATCCCTATGAAGATGATTTTTATTACACGGTAATTTATAAATTTTTTGTGCTGAAACTGTTTCGTTCTGGCAGTTCATCTCATTTTGTCTGTCATCGTTGTTTGTAGTTATTGAACCAATATCTGTTCATTAATTTATCAGTTGAGTTTTTATGTCAGGCATTGAGTTTTATCTTTTTTGTAGTTATATTCATATTTTATGGATTTCAGCATTTATATACTCTACTTGCTTTTTTCACTGTCATTACTCGTCTTAATTTTAATTCGATTGTACTGTTTTAATTCTACATTTTTGTCTATCGTTCAATGTTTTAAGTTATGGAAGCAACAGAGGTTGGCTCTAGAACGACGTGAAAGGGGTTTAGAACCAATTAATGAAGAAAACAAAAGGAAATACGTAACTAAGATTGGTAACCTACAGCATTATGTCCCACCAACATTTATTGGCAGCTTAGGAAAGCCAACATTGTCTACTGTGAATTATCCAAGACAAGTTAGCTTTTTCTTTGTGTTTATTGTTGTTGCAGAAAATTTCGTTTTATGCACAACATTTCTAACTTTGAATTATTAAACAATTTTTTGTAGTATTAAGTAGTTTTTTGGTAGTTTTGATAGTCTATCATTTTCTTTAGAAGTTAACTCACTCCTGTAGCCACCTGGAATTGGTTTTAGTAGTGATTTGGTCAATTTTTTGGTCACATGTTTAAAGTTATTTGTGGTAAATCATTAAATCTGGAAGCTTGCAATTTTGATAAAAGACATACGCACTGCATGAATCTTAAACAGTAATCGCTAACATTGATATTTTTCAGTTAATTAATTTGTCCCATTCGTCTAGTGATGATGATAAGCTCTCAATGAAAAGCAATACTTCGCAAAAAAAATTGCGAGCACTCTTACTGCAGATAGAAAATATAGCTTTCCTCATTATTGAATGTGACGATCTACACCGCGCACTCTCTGCTTCGTCTCTGTCAGATGAAGTTCGGTAAGCACTATCTATTCTTCTTTCCTCTATGTATTTTTAAAAATTTGCTAAGTGTAATTTTGTTTTTCATTCTTAAAAACGGTAAATTAAATTTTTTTCTGAATGCTATATTTACTGCAAGGTAATAAAATCAATTTGAACAGAAAAATAAATGCTATTGTTTAGCTTAGTGAGCAGTTTTGAGAAAATTTTTTTCATTCTCTCAATTTATCTATATTAGGATGGAATTGAAGAGTGATATTGAAAGTCGAATGAAAACAATAATTCAAAGCATTTGTTACCGCAATGGTCTCGAAACTGCTTTGCTTATAAATAAGGGAAGACAAATGTTTGCAAGAGCATTGTCGTGTGGTAATGAAATGCATCAATATCTTCTTCTCAATAGTTTTTTTTCGAGTTTGCCTATTATTATCAAAAGAGTACCGGCAAATGTGGTATGTCTTCCAAATTGGGTTTAGTTTTGTTGTTAATTAAATCATTAAGTTATTGGAAGCATATTTGCTTCGTTTCTTATATTTAAAACATAGTAGTGAATGTGAAATGATATTGAGTTGTTTTGAAAGCATTGCCTGTAAAATACAAAATTATAAATCTGGAAATTTCATTATGACTAAGTTTCATGAAAACTCTTTGGTAAGCTATGTATGATTAAAAATGTAATTTCTGGGAAAAAATAGATGGTTCTTTCAGTTGAATGAATCGTTATTGATGCCAATATTTGGAACGCTCTCACAGTTTTCAGAAAATAGACTCACCAATTTCATCAACACTTCAAAATGGGCAGTAAGCTGTGATTCAGCTAAGAATTTGGTAATAAATTCTACTATAAATATCCAGAAAGATTGTTCAAATATTTCAAATACTAAATCTCTCGACTTTGAGATCATGCCAGTGAAGTAGTTTTGTTAATATTTTCTTTAAAAAAATAGGATATCTCTGACTATTGTTCATTGACTTTTATTGAGACTAATTTGTCGACATATTTTACGAAAAATCGCTAAAAACTGATGATTTACTTCTTTATTGTTTACTTTTTTCTTTCAGTGTAGTCTTTTTGTACTGTTATGCTATCCATAAAATTAAGGTGGTGAGTCATGCGCTTGAGGTCTATGAAACTTAAAACATGTTCTGTAATTAAGTATTTTCAGTTTTTGACAAATTTACTGATGTTGCTAGTGGTTTGCTGTTCACGCAAAGACTGTCATCTAGATGCTTGCTTTGCAACTACAATTCTCTCCGTACTACTTGGGCCATGCTCACAGCCTGTAAAGTGTTCTTTGGAACCATTTGTGATTTTAACACTCTCCGACATCAGAATACTTGATACTTGGTCTACTCGTAATATCAAGGGATATCATGGATCAGCTCTTGAAAATATTGTTCATAGTTTGCAGCGTAGTTGTAAGTGTCAAGAAGATTGAGTAATTTTACTATGTTGAGCTTCGAAACTTTCTCTGAAATTTGTGTCACTGGTCAAAATTTCACCATTAGTTTGTAAATTCCATGCACTCATGTTTTAATTTTTTTATATTTATTTACATTCTCTTAACTTCATGCTTGTATTTTAATTTGCCTTAGGTAGTGTATTTTGCGTTTAAAACAAGTAATTGACTGTGTAAAAAAGCGAACAGCTTTCAACTTTTATTGAAACTCATTTTCTCTAAACAGCTCAACAATCTTACACTGTCCGATCTTACTATGAAAATCAGTGTTGAAACGAAAGACTACCGTGAAATCAATATTTGAAAATTTGGCTTTTGAATTCTTTGTTTTATTGGCGGGGAAACAAGATCCAATATAGGAAATTTACTAGTGGAGATCTAATTAATTTTGCAGGGAGGGTTTCTTAATTCTTTCGTTTGCATAAATTCTTTACGGATGCCGCAGTCATGATCTAACATGGCAAAATTGCATTGCATATGTCCATTTTTCTGGATTAAAAACAATGAAGCAGTGATTTTTGAGTGCATTGATCATCTGATTTTATTTGTTACTGGTTATTGAATGTAGTAATCGTGTAAATTGATGAAAGCAAAATTTTTGTAGTATTTGAATCAGGTGTTCGACATTTTATAATCTTCTAGCATGCTCTTCATGTCAAGTATAATACGTTAGGCTTCTAACTTGTTCAAAACCTGTATTGTTTCTGACGAATTGGGATGTTAGGTTGCAGTGCTAAATACTGGCATGGAGCGAAAAATTGTTGAAAGAATTAGAGGCACCTCTTGTAGTATACGACTAATAATCAAATTCATTCTTTCGATCATTACGCGATTCCCTGGCTTAATATAGAAATTCTGTAATGCTTTTACAAGTACTCTCGAATTTTTCATATAACAGTTTTGTTTCAGTGTTCCTTGCTTTGTTATTGGAATATGTTTTCATGAATTGATGCGTTTGCTTGGACATAAAGTTGTATGATTCTAATGACTTCAACTTTTGTACATTATATATATATATATGAAATGTTTAGCATTTAAAAGATTGCCTTGAACATCAGTTGAACTTATATGAAGGTTCTAGTACTTTGGTGCAGTTCCAGTTTCGTTAACTTCATACATACTTACCAACATCATTAGGCCTTTTACTGCTTGTAGAGTTTCAAATCTATAAAGCAAACTAAAATATACTTGTTTAGTTACTGTCATTTTTATTTTCATGACTACTGGACTGGTCATGCGTTCTCATACTCTAATAGTTTTCATTTCAGTGGGTATGTACCCACTTCTTCAGTATATGTTATCTTCAGAAGCAAATTTTAAACAGTTTGCACTGTAGTAGTGGAGGTGTTTGAATTGAGCGTTTGAACGGTTAGAATTATTGCACTAGCAACGAACTCAAGAATAATTTAAACAATTACTTCCGGCAATTAGTCGGCTTTATGGTTCCTTTCCATCATATTGTACGGTGTGTTTGTGGTATCAAAGAGAATGGCGTTTTCAAGTTAACCGGAATCAACATTGTCATCATATCTGGACTGATAGATCTATAATGAAACGGGCGAGTGTAGTTATTTTTTTAACAGTAGGTTGCACGATTTAGTGTACAACTCGCATCCACAGGGATATTTTTAGGAAGATTTCTTTCAGCATTGCATTGCAGGGATTTTGAACTTGAAAGAATAGAACATGTTTTACAATTGTTTATTCTTCACCTTTGTAGGAAGAATTCCTGATTTTTTATCTCTTTATTGTAAGGGTTCAAGCTTTTTTCATGTTTTCTGTAGTAGTAGGTTATGATTTTCTTAATCTTATACGACTTACACAATAAATGCCTAAGGAAAAGGATAAGTTGTGTTATTCGGGTGGTACGAAGCTTTTTCGTGCATTTATAACTAATTGCTAGTTTTCTACTATTTGATATTTTCCTTGTTCTATTTCCAATTTTTTACCATCATTATGCACATCTTTAACAAAGATTAGATTTATGAAACTATCAGTCTGTAGTCATCTATCATTTTGAGCCTAACCACCGATTATGTTGCTTAGAGTTCAACCTGTATGGTTCCTGCTCATACAGTACCAGTAATCGATCCTCGTAACTTCCGTTCATTTTGTTTCCGAGGCGAAGGTCGTGCGAACTTCGTCATTAGTGCTAAATGTGAGAAGACTGGCTTAAGGTATGATTTTCTAAAAACTATTTTCCATTTATTTGTTCAAATTTTTTATCAGAAAGTTATAGAGCTATCCTAGTTCCAGTTATTTTAAAAAAAGGTGAAGGCAATGTTGTCATTTAGGATTGCATGGAGGTTGGCTAAGAAACGCAAATCAGGGAATGTTTCGGTAAAACCAAAATGTCAGGTGGTCATCGCGTATGTCGAAAAGTTAATAGCATCTTTCCTCGGTCGAAATTTTTTGGTTCAGCCAGAAGTTGTCAATATTTCTGCCGATTCCCTTCACCATCTTGCCAAAGTAAGAATCTATTTCATGTTATTTTAAAAAATGGTTATTCTCTTTGAATAAAGATCAATCTGCACAACGCAATTTCCTTAGATTGTATTTTAAATGATTGATGAAAAATTCACTTTGAATTATTGATTTCGTTAAATCTATTTTTGTATAATAAAAAATATCCTAATATAAATTTGCTCAAATCTAATTGTGTATTTTAAATATAATGCAGGTTACTGAGAAGAAACTCTTAAGCTACTTTTTGCTTTCTAGATTCCTTCGCTACCTTTCAATCTGAAAATTGAAACCTTTGATGAACTTTGTGACTCTGAGAAATACTCTGCAACAACTAGCTACTTTCCTCTATGTTACTCAAAAGGAGTTCGCTATGTGGCCATTTTGCAAATGGTGGATGCAACTAGAATTCTAAAGTGTCTGTCACCAGAATATTTTGGGCCAACGATTACAGTGGAAATTAAACCTAAACAAGGTTTTTTCCAGAATCATCCGGGTATCAGTGTTCCGTATTGCAACAACTGTATTTTACAGGTACTTTCTGTTCTTCAAGAATGCTACACTATTATTATTGTCCACAGTTTCCTAACAGCCACTAATATGTCAAAAATGCGTTATGCAATTCTACCTTACTAATTCTCTGGTTTAAATACATCTACATTACTCATATTATTGGGTGTTTAATTTTTTCACCTCGTAAACAGTACTAAAATTCATGTTTTCTGTTACAGTTATTTAGAAGATTTTTTATAAATTCCAGATGGAGAAATATCATGCAAAGGCTTTTGATGAAATGTATGATTATTGTCCATTGGATCTATTCAGTGGTGACTTCAAGCGAATGCTCAGAGCCTTGAAAGCATTATTTATGGTACCCCATCGTAATTTGCGAATTTTCCTTGATGGTAGTTTAATACACTCTGAAGAAAATGTACTGAATATTGAGCAACTGTGTGAAACGCTTTTTTGTGATGGTTCTATCTCCGTTGAACATTTAATTAAAGCTGTAAGTCTATTCACTTGAGGTGTCATATTATGTGCAAAATTTCATAAAATATCTGCGAAATTTTTTCCAGTATTTAATTATTAAAAATCTTTATAGCTTTGTTGTATTCTGGTAGATGCGCCATCTGATGATTCGTTCTCAGTGCATGATTCAAGTGTTCTGATGAAGTTACTGAAAGGGCAAAAGGTTGATACTGTTGGTGTTGTGCGTGCATATCAGATTTATACCAGTCTTCCTGAAGTAGTACAAGTGAGTTGTACATCGCTAAATGTGTTTATTTCTATTTCAGGAATCTTTGGACGTTATTTTTGTTGTGAAAATTTCAGCCGCTGATTTTTCAATTTACGTGTAAATTAGAAAAACAGGCTGCATGTAGAAAATATAAAGTTTCAGATTAGTTCAAGTTTAAAGAAGATCGTCTATTTTTTGTTTGAGTAGCAGGTATATCAAATTAAAAGTGGTGCTTGTCAAAGAATGTGATTAATTAGTTTTTGAGAGATCATTCACTTTCCAGAAGGAGATGATGGATAAATGCTTACTGCCAAAAAAAGGTCTTTCATTTCTGCGGCAGAATACCGATCGTTCTCTTGTTGAACGTTTTCTTTTGGCTGCAACTATGAAGGATTGCTCGTTGATGATTAGTTTACGACTAGTTGATCCGATGGCATTTGCTTCTCAAAGTGTGCAGTCATCACGACAACAAATTGTGCGAATCGCTGGTTCATCTGAAGCTGAGTATACACATTTTGCTTACTCAGTGAAAATTGTGGATCTTGATCCGAAGACATCTAAAAGTTTGTTAAGTGGTTATACTCGTTATATGGATGGTTTAAAGGTTGTGGAACAGATGTCCAGTTTACGTAGACCGTGTTCACTATAAATCTCTCTAAATGAGTGCCTAATAATGAAATTCATTAAAATGTTCCGTTTCAAGTACTGTTTTCTGCATATGATAGGCCTCAGTTATAACGTATTTTATCCTCATTTTTTGTTTTTTAATTGTTTCATAAACATGCACATTTTTTATTTTCATCCAAAGTGATACAGTTTTGGAACAAAATTTTCAGTGTAGTCAAGTTCATCAGATAAAAATTGTACTGTTTTCAATAAAAGTGACTATAAGTCATAAAAGTCATGTAGAAATCTTTGATACAGTTTAAAGTTACGAAAAATTTTGTGTAGGAAAGAGAACGAAGTTAATTGCGACTTGTAAATGAAATAACTTTGAAATATTTCACTTGTATTTCGTTCAGTCATCAAGTTTTTCTTCAATATTGTTATTTCTTGAACTGATTCTATTTTTACGGCTTAAACAAAGGACAGTGTTAGTATTATTAAGTTATTTGTGTGTGGGGTATGCGAAGAATTTTGTAAAGCTTTCAGTTCAAAAGAAAAATTTTGGTGATACTTGGCATGGGTGCTGATGAATGGTCATCTATCTAATTTCTTTTTCCATTTTCCATAATAGCCCAGTAAGTAAACGTTTTGATACCAAAATTAGACATTGTGGTGTATCTTATGTCCTTTAATAAATTTTGCAAATATCAAGCTGTGTTTTTTCATTATTACATTTGCCAACGATGACGGAAATACAGTTCATTTGTTGTGTACGTATTGAGTTATATTTTCCTATTCTTATTTCTTAATTTCTGTAGTCATTTTTTAGCAATGGAGACAGTTGTTGAAATGAAACGAATCCCTTAATTATCTTGACCATTCAGTTGATAATCATTCAATAAAATTTAAGGCGGAAAGTGTATAATGTACTCTAGTGGTCATGAAGTTTAAAGTGCACCAGTGAAACGCAATGTATGCCAGTTTTTTCTTGTGAGTGCAATAAAAAGTTAACTAGGAGGTACCATGGCAAGTGTGTATTGCATGGACGCATTTATTTTTATTGCGTTAATTGTATTCTAATGGAAGATGTATTGTGTTTAGTGATTATTTCCGTATTCTAGTATTTAAAATTAAAAAAAGCTCCGAATGTGCTGTTCAAATAAATGTTTCTTAGTTTGCTGAAAATTAAACATAAAAGTTAATAACGTTCAGAAATCATTCTTTCGAATGAAATTAGGAAGTTTTTACACTTAAGGAAAGATGAACAATCATATCACTTCTCGTAGATTTTGCTTTCAGCACCGAATTATCATACTCATTGGTTAAGCATTTTTTAATACATTTACTGCAGTTATTATTGTGTCAAAATAATAAAGGGAGCTTGTTTATTGCATTGTACAATTTGTAATATTCTCTGTCGCATATGTTTCAGATAGCCATAGTTATATGATAATATGTTTATGACGTGATTTCAGGTCCTGTTTCACCATAAGCTGAATATAAGAGAAGAAAGTAGAAGTTGAGGATTTGTCTAGATGAAAGTCGAAAGTGAAAAAATTATCGGAAACAGTTATGCCTTGGACTTTCTTTGTTTAAAGTCATGCTGAAATTCTCTGCAAATTACGTGCTCAGTGCGGTACTAACTACCGTCTTTGTTATCTTCATTTTCCAAAATAATGTAGCACTCAAGATTTAGGAATAAATTGTATTCAGTATTTTAGAGTCTTTGCTCCTGGTGAAGCAAAATTTGAATGACTAGAAAAAGAGTTTCTTGGAAGCTTGAGAATATTAAATTATCTGCCAAGAAATTGTAATGTTAATGTCCTGGTGATAGATTTCAAAAAAATTGACTAAATTAATTTTTAACGAATTTTGAAGCTTTATTTGCACTAGCTGTATTCATACGCGCCAATTTCAAATGAATAATTTTTAAAGACCGAAAATAACTGAATAGAGAGTCTGTAAATCCACTTACTGTCTGCATACTTTTGATTCCATCTTTGAAAAGACGAAGAATTTAGATGATAAATAATGAATGTATAGCTAGAGAGAAAACAAGTTCAAATGTGCAACTTTGTTGACTCGAGATAATCACACTGTACACGCTTTTTAATCGAGCAGCGTAAATTGTTTCCGGCCTTGTCTTGCATATCTTCACATAAATTGCTTGAAAAATGAATTTACAATATTAAACAGTCGTTACAATTGCAGCATTTTGATGAATAATACAATCAGTGCACGCGCTTAAATATTAATTGTTGTAGCATTTTTGATAAATACTTGCAAGTTCATAAGTAAAATATGTTCAACTATCATCTCCAATACTTCGAAAGTTAAACCAGTACTGGTATTTATGACTAGGAATTCTAAAACGGAAAAAATTTTTTTGAATAGTTTTTTCATTACCTAAAGATCGTGATATATTTGTATTCTAGGCAAGTTGACGCCTTCAAATCACCTTGTAAAATTGATCAATTGGAGAGTAAAATTTAAGCTTGTCGGGCAGAACAATTTTCGACTCCCTCTGACTGAATAGTATTTGAAAGATGTAACACAAATAAAGCAAACAGATGGCAGTTAAACCGTTTCCGTTCATTGACTGACGGCTTATTTTGTGTTACATTTTTCAAATACTGTTCAGTCAGTGAGAAATTTCTCACTAACTCAAAATTTGGATATTTATCTTTGTGGTTGAACGCATTTGAAACAAATTGTGCGCTCTGCAATCTCAATACACTTAAGAATATGTAAAATTAAACTTAGTTAAACTAAATGATTGTACTGCATTAATAATCTATGAAGTGAGTGTGGTCCGTCATATGCATCAGATATGGATACGAATATGTTGCGTTATTTACTTTTCACCGTCTAATGAGAGTTAGAAAATTTTGAAAATGTCTATTTTATCAAATATTGATCTGCTCTCGTGCAATATACGTTACCAGCAGAGATTGATGAAGTAGTGTGATTTCTGCCAGTTATCATTTTGAAGAAATGCTAATCAATGCTAAAGTGATTTTACTTTACTGCAAGACAGTAGGAAAATTGCTAAAAATCTCCCTGTTAGCCAAAAAATGGCCAATTTTGATATTTATCAGTATAGTAGTTAACTGTTTCGAAAATCAACTTTCACGCATCAGCTCTCACTATTTCTGGTAGCTAAAAGAACATAATCATGATAAGTAATAATTATTCATCTATTGCAACTTGGTAACAATTATTATTAATTATAACTATAATTATTTATCTGCCACAATTTTATGATTATCAGTGATCTCCGCATTGTCTGACAACTTATTTCCCTCAAAACCAATAAAATTTTTCGCTTGTTTTCTTATATTATGCTCTTGATTAAGGTCATTGAACAGAAAAATTTATAGCATTATTCTATTATGCTTCTTCTATCACTGTTTATCTTTTAATATATTCCAATTTGAAACAAAGAGTTGGCTTCAAACCTGGTAATATATTGCTTCTATCATTAAATCTGATACCATCATCAATATTTATTATATCAATATCTAAAACTTTATTTTCAGTATCTGTGATAGCACTTTTTTCAGATATATTCACTGCCTTTTTTAGATTTTTTGAAAGTGTATTGAAAATATTAAGAATAAACATACTGATATAATTTTTATTGAGAGAATAATGCCTTTATTTCCGTAATCATTTTTCCTCACTATTTATGCCAATACGCTTGATAATTATACTCACAATCGGCATTACCATTCTCTCACTGTTATTGGCAATAGCAATACTATCACTTTTACTGTTGCTATTATCATGCAATTCTAGTAGCCTGATAGACCCTTTCTACTGCACTTAGCCTTACTTTATCTGCGTTAAAAGGGCTCTGTTCTTATGATTTGCTCTTTGCAAAGAAAATCCAATGCTATTTACAGTACAAATGTTTAAATACACCTTAAACACAAAAAACATGTAAACATATGTGGTGCCTATATGTTCTACTTGTTTTATTGAGTGAAAATCAAAAATTTTGAATAAACTAATGGGCCCAACACGAAAGTTAATAGCGTTGAAAAGAATATTAATCTGCGAACTGATCAACACAGTATTTTATATATATATATATAAACCTCAGTCTCGACTACGTCCTGACTAGTACTGGCAACCTTTATCAAAATTACTTCATGTCGTTTCTTATCGTATATCATGATATCCGGTCGATCTGCACTTATCTCTATAGCTATTCTAACACGCGTATCGACGACTATAGAGAATGCACTGAACCGTCTGTTGTTTGTGGATATCTCAAGTATGTGACCGATGAGGATATCATGAAATCTATGACCAACAAGTTCTGAGGTTTCTGATGTGGTAGATTTAGATATGAATCAAGAATAGTGAGCCACTAACACCGAGGTATGCGCTGATCAGGCAGTGCTATTGGAAGAAACTCAAGTATATAAGTACCTTGGAATATTGGTAAACAGGAGCTACCCATGAAAGTTACGGTACAAAATACGAGCGAAGGTTCTGGTGAGAATAAAGCGATTGACAAAATTGCACTAAAGGGCAAAAAACTTATCAGTAGTGAGTGAGGACGCTAAAACCTTAATAAACTATTACATTCATGTGCTACACTGGTACCAGAAAACTTCCAACCACAATATCAGATAGTCATTAAATAAATACGGGATTCATAATCAACTTGCGTGTTTAGAGAGACTATACTTACCAAGGAACGAGTTAAGGCGTGGGTTTCATAGCATTGAACAGAGAACCTATGCTCCAAATTCATTATGTTCTTGTAGATACCGAGCTCATATCTACGAGGAGGGGGGATTCTGAAGCAGGAGAAGGCTCACAACGTACTTAGCTCTATTTAAAGACTAGGTATAGCTGACGAAGCAGCGGAGATCAGCACAGCAGAACTGAATGCTGGACGAGTGCAGCGAGAATGCCAGAATACGATCCAGAGCCAGAGTCAATAAAGCGGGAAAGAAGAATTACTTTCTGTTATATTATATATATAATATGTATGCATACAGAGTTTGGTGCATGTAAACAAAACACTTTATTGGTTTTTTGGCATAAAGGACAATGCCTCCGGTTTGGAGGAGCGACCAAAATTGGAATTCATCTGTTTCTCCAACCTTTTTAATGAGTTGAGTTTATTTGGACTATTTTTCAAGTCTGAATTTGAACTTGTATTTCTTTCATTTAAATTTAAATGAAATTAGCAAAGGTGGCATCCACATAGGATATTTTCTTGATAGATTTAATTAATTTTTTTCCAATAAATTTCAGTTTCTATTTCAGTCAATAATTTTTCACGTAGAAAATTTTCTCGGTCGTAAACTAACAGACAAACTAAAATAACACTTTAATTACAAATTTCTACTGGAAGTTATATTTCAATCTCTTTCAGCAATCCTTCACTCCATTATGATGAGCAAAGTTTCTCAATAATTTGATAATTTTGCTTAAAACTGTTTTAAATTTTTGATTTACAATAAGTTATCCATTCATTTTTCTAAGAATACGTTTGTTTATTTTACTTATGCCAAATATGAAACCTCGTTTGAAATACGACACCTGTGCTACTGCAGTACTGCATCTCGGATATAATCGTGATCTCTTAACTTGTGGATTTTATTTATTATTATTTATCAGTCATTTATTGATTAATTGGATGAATAATTAGTTTGCAACTCAAACTATTGTTCAAATTTCACTTCTTTAGCAAGTAACCTTTGAAGAAAAATCCTGAAACAAATTAACAAGTTAATGAATACTATTTTTCAATGATAAAAAATAATTCATGTACTCAGAATTTTCGTTAAGCAAATTAGTGATCTCATCAACTACATATGCCACTTAAAGCTGTATATAACGCAATTCTATAAAAAGTAATGACCAATCACCAGTGCAACGATTATTAAATTATCATGCTACATTGTTTCTGAAGCACTATAGAACTGCCTGTTTTTGAATATTCGAACCTAAAATAATTTTTGACTTTTTTAAAATTCGCATGTAACTAAACAAAATCAGATAATTTTTGTTATCTGATTTGTGAAAACGGATGCAAATTAAAGCGCTCAAAGTTTAATGATTTGTTCTTATTTTTTTGGTACTTTCTATGAGACCTATTAAGGACTGAATGCTTGCGCTCAATAACATTTTTTCTTACGAACTATTTATATTGAATATTTGAAAAGGCAGAAGTTCCTCAAGTCTCCCTCGCAGTTTTTGAATGCTAATATTTAAGTTTTTAAAATTAAATCTTTTTAAACTTTAGTTTTTTTCGTAGCCTATATCCATTTTTAGGTATATCCAAAATTTTGTGTCTTCTTAAACTGCTTAAATAATTTATTATTTTTATGGAAGACCTAATATCTAGTCATATGAATAGAAAATTCACATCGATAATGATGAGATGAGTAGAAGAAGAGTTGCAGGGCTAAAATGGTGTTTTCTATGTTTCAGGCCTAAAAGCCTTTGTTTGCTTTATGCTTAAGCATAACTTTCAGCTCGAATGTCTTGATTAATCTAAGCCTGCCTCAAGCGTAACCCAAAATCTTTCTTTAAATTCACATTTCTATTGCAAATAATTTGGAAGACTTTACTCAGAATTTTTAAATTTTTGTGGGTTTTTGAAGTAATAAAATGTTCAATTGTTCACTGCATTTAAATTGCGGAAATAATGTTACTAAATTTCGGGATTGAAATCCAATTTCGCAAGTAATTTTTTGTCCAAAATACTTCAGCTTGCTCACTTTTCATTATGCCTCGTTTGATGAAAACATTTTATTTTTTAATTGAAAACTATTTATCTTTAGCTAGCTTGGTGTTGGTATTATATGTGAACATAAAAAAATAAAATAATTCGGAAAAATTGTTTAAAATTACATTTTTTCATACATCAACCACGATTGATTTTATTATTTGAAAAATTCGATTAATAAAAGAAGCATTTCTAACTCTGGTATCATTACTTATCCTACCCGAAAGTGTATGCAACACTGCTACTATTTGAAATTTTTAGTTTTAGCTATAATTTTTATCTCATTAATAATTATTGTTAAATATGATGAATTGTAATTGGTCTTTTTTCACTTTATCAAAAAAATTTTCTATAAGGCTGAATTGAGTTTCTCGTGCAAAAAACATAGAAAATAATCACACCTGTTTCGTTTTAATAAGGATTAAATGGGCATTTATAATCGAAAAATAAAAAATACTTGAAGCAATCGGTTTTCATTCTTCACTGCATTCTAGCTTTCTTGCTTTTGTTGGTTTGTTAAGAAAGATACGGAGTCAACTGGGAATTTATTTAAATAAATAGCTTGTTTAAATACATAAAAGGATAGCATTATCGCAATAATCCATATTATTATTATTATTACCCATAATATAATTTTTTTACATTTGATCATATGCAAAGGCAAGAATAATAGCAATCATACTGCTTGGCACAATTTTTAATCATATTTGATGGGGAGAACTTCATATTCTAAGACGTAGTTTGATGAAATAATTTTACAGTTATAAAAATCAAAAGAATGTTTGACATACGAAAATCAAAAACCGATGCGAGAAAACTATATATGTTGGGAAAATTAGTGAGTTGCAAGAAAAATAATTCATAATTTGAAATATTGATAAATTTTTGAAAATGATTTTATGGAGGAAATAGTTCACTTCTTTCTAAAATAATTCACTAATAATTGTATCACTGGCTTATTTCTTCTTTCACTTGTCAGCATGAAATACGAAAATGCTGCAAAAAATTAATCCACTTCAATTTTCAGGTAGTAAATTTTATGATTACTGTACTTTCACAACTGATTGGCAATAATGATAAGTTTATTTATACACACAGAAAGAAACTTGATTATTTCTGTTGCAAATATTTTTTGGCTCGAGAAATAGTGATTTTTGATATTGAATGAACTTTGAAGAGAATTTTAGAAGATGAAAATGCCATCGTTGCTTGTGGAAGTAAATGGTCGAGAAATGCCACAACCAAGTACTTCTTCATTTGCAGAGCGGTCGTATTTTTCACAACGTTACTTGTCTGCCACAAACAATGGCCATAATAATAATATTTATATTGATAATAATAATATTAATAATGATAACAATAATATTAATAATGCTCATCGTGCATCAACGGTTGCTAACGAAAGTAGTAATGCTTCTGTGGTAAGCACTCAATCGATTGAGATGGAGGAGGATTTCAGGACACAGGTGAGAATAGCCACCTCACAAAGAATATGCGCTATTTACTAATTATCCATTTATTTTGAAACAAATCATTTCATTGTTACAGTCTTTGTAACTTGTTAATATTTTCAACTACAGTATTATCCTTCTTGTCACATAAATTCCGGTATATAATATTTTGATATGCCAAAAATTGCATAACCTGATAATTACTTGTATCAAGCTAACTTCTAATTCATCCTTTTAAATCCTCTCTTTGCTATTCCATTAAATTTTTTTTATCGTTTTCACTATTATTATCAATGAAAAAGTAAAGAAAATAATTATTACCTTCAAAGTATAATATTCATACTTCATGCTTCTGAAAATAATAACAACAATAATAATAATAATAATAAATAATAATAATTAATAATAATATTATTATTTTCATTATAAAAGTATGAATAGAGGAAATTTTCTTTTCTCATGCTTAAAATTCTTAAAATAGAAACAGGAACAAATGGAATTATAAATAGTAGCAAAGGCTTTACTTCTAATTTAACAACATAATTCTTTTTCTCATCATTACTAATTCTATTTATTGCATGATTTACTTGAAGCAAGTAGATGAAAATTTGAGCACAGCATGTAATAAAAGTTTTGTAGAGAACAAATGGTAATACTTTAAATGCACGCAAATTGATGATAGCTGGAATTCTCGAGAGGGTTCATTGGAAAAAAAATTTCTTGCTTCTCTTTTTCGTTTCAAATTAAAAATTTTGGCAAAAAAACCTTTCAGAACATTATTATATTTTTATTTATGATTGTTACATTAGCATTTATTATCATCAACTTAGAATTCACTACTGTCTTTATTAATTTATTCATTATTGTTATTGTTTAATATTATTACTGTTTACAATAATAATTATTATTATTAATATTAATCTTATTAATGTTCATAATATTAATATCATTAATTATATTATTAATGATTAACACTGCCACAATCAATTTCACAGTTCCAAAATGACTAAATTTACTGAAGCAGAAGAATGCTCACTTCATTGTTATTAGAGATAAATCTTTGTTTTTCAAGCCAAATCAAAAAAAAATTGAAAATGGTTCTCGAAAAGAATTAGGGATAAATAAATAAATAATTTTGTTTTATCAAGTAAGGACTAATTTCCGTAGACGTTTCTACTTATTGTCTTAATAATTTTCATACAAACTTTAAAAGTCAGTTGACGCCCTGATAGACGAACTGCTATTTGCAATTGATAGCATATTTTAGCAATATGCAGAAATTAAGAAATTCAGAATTTTGTAGGAAGTTTTATATGATAGTAATGACAATATACATGAAAGGATTGATCTGATTAATATTTCAATCGCAATAATAATAGTTGTTGTTATCGTCTAAACCATATCACTTCATTTTCGATATAACGAAGAGTATTTAAGTGTCCTTCAATAAAAGCACTGCTTTCTGCATGGAACGATTTTTAAAACAAGATACAAAGCACGAATTCTTGAGCTAAAAACTCATGTAATTATTTTTGAAGAATTCTATCAATTAGTCGAAGACATCATTTTAGAATCTTGCATCAATATCACAAAAATATGGTTATTACCTGATGCCAAATAAATCGCAAGTACTGTTTTATCTGAGTGATGCACCATTATTAAGAATTCGAAGAGCTGGCACGGAACTACAGGTACTTCAGTTTTCATTTTTGATCTAAGCTTATGTAAGAAAAACATTCAAAACTTTATTGTTCCACAAAAAATTAACTCAAAACATCACTGAAGAGATTACAGTCTAGCAGAGAATTTGTCGAGGTTCTATAGTTTGCAATGCTTTGTACTTTATACAGCTTCACTAGCTGCAGAGTAATTTTAGCGTAACTTTTTTCATTGTAAATTTCCTATAACTTTCATCAATTCCTCAAAACGTCCACTTTGTTGATAGCTATATGGATGGGTGGTGTAAAATTAACTTTTAGATTACTGATTCTATTGATTTTCCATTATTTGACATTTGGAAAAATGCCAATTGTATCAAGTCAACAATGATTTTGGAATCGTACGGCAGGACGGTTCTGTTGATATCGGAAAATTCGTCAACTGGATATATATTCGGGAAGAAGTCAAAATCACCATTGGTTATAATCAATGACTGGAACGGAGATTTGTTTGGCTACTTTGTACCTGGTTAGTTCAGATTGTACTGCAAGCAGCCGTATTCCTTCCGCTTTATGATTATTTGATAAGGTTTTGCAAGGAAATTAGTTTTACTGACAAATATGCTTGTCAAATTGAAGCGAAGCAACAATTCGTCTTAGCTCATAACAAATGACAGCTGTGAATAATCAATCAATCATTTTTCATCTTCTTCAAAAGTAGTATTTCTTCTAACTAATCAATTTTAACTGACTTAAAATAAGCACAGGTCATACATTTGCTTCAATCTCTTCCTACAACTATTTACAGTAAAACCGTACTTTTACAGGTGATCCATTCTTGATTGAAGATAATGATAAGCGAACGATAGCAAAAATTTTGGCTGCAGAAAGTGCATATGGAAGGTTTAATCATATTTTGGCTTATTATTCCCTCAAATTATAATAAGTTGAAATATATGATCTATAGTTAAAAATGAAAGTGAAATAACTAAAATCATCTCTCACTTAATCATTTTTTATCTCAAAACTGATCATTTTTATCTCTCAAATTTTGATTGATCTATTTTCAATAAGAATCCACAGCTGGTTCTGAAAGTAAACCAATTTAGGTTCTATTACACCAGATCCGACGAGAAAATTTTTTACAATAAATTTTAATGGAGCATTGAGATTGTAGATTCCAAAAAATATCAATATCATTTTGCTATTTCTGAAATAAGAAACTTAACAAATATGAATGATTGATTCGCCACCTCCTAATTACTTATGTATTATTTACATTTGAAAAAGTGTTCAAAAAGGAACTAAAATTATATTTGATTATACTGATTATGTATTTATAATTTCATGAAAAAGACAGTTTGTTGATGTTTATAAAAACGACTGATGCCAAAAATTCAAGGAACAACCACTTATTTCTTCCATACGATAATACTTTAGGAAAATATTATTTAGCAAATCAAATTAGCATTTAGCTCGATAAAACTTTGTAGGTTTAATCGAGCTAAATGCTAATTTTTCAGTGATGGCCAAAGATTTTATTTTTTCTTTTATTAATGTCAAGAATTGTAATGTTCAATGTGTAGGCAAAAGTATACGGACAAGAACCATAGCTTAGTTCTCTAATGTGAATAACAGGCTAATTTCTCAAAATAAAAAATGTTCTTCTTTAATTCATCCTTTAATGAGCAATTAATCCACCGTTAGGAATTGCATTATTCTTAAGCGCGGGCATAAATTTCAAAATATTTTACCACACTATACTATATCCATCTTTTTAAATGTTTGCCCATTGTTATTCACTATGCTAATTTTTTTGGAGCAAATAAATTAGCTTAGTGAGTAGATTCAAAAAGAAATCCTACTTGTGTTTATTGACTTATTTATTTTTATATCTTTTAACGTAAAATTTTTTGAAGGACAAGTGTGTGGGTGTGTGTGCTAGAAGGTTCTGGTCGAGAAATTGCTAGGATGGAAGAATATCATACGATTTATTTCGCCAAAGATGTTGGTGGATTTCAATTCAAACTTTTAGCTTTAGCAGCTTTTGCGCGACTAACAGCATCAGAATGTATTCAGACACAGTCTTGCTGTTGTTCATTTTTCTCTTTGTTGCTTCGCTATTAATGATAATCATGTAGTTATGAGAAACAATTAATTCAATATTACAAATAACTGCAAATGTTGACAATTAATGAAATAAAATTGATTAAGAGTAAGTCATACAAAAACATTTATTATACGAGATGAAATGAAAGCTGCTTCTTTCAAGTTTAATAATGGTAAAGACATTACTGGTTTTAAAATTAAAAAAATGCAATAAATCTCGTTACAAATGTTATTTACTCTTACTTTGTCATAATTCTAGGAGTTAAAACGTTTCTGAATCTAATTCTTTCTCCTTATCATAAAAATCTTGAGAAATATTCTATAAAACAAAAACCTATGAGAGTACTTTCAGTCAACAGAGTAAATAGGTTTGAAATTAAATTTATTGCAAGAAGGGCCACTGGTTGAAAATAGACAAACTTTAGTAAGTATGATAAATAGATTCAAGCTTTAAGAAATGTTGGCTAAAAAGAATGAGTAGCGAATTTATTAATTTTTTATTCTGCATGATGCATTTGTAATGACAAAAAAAAAAGAAACAGTTTTTGAACAATTTCGACTGCTTTTATTTTACATAAGGAATGAAGAATCTAATCCATTATTATGATTGGATGGATTTAGTTTGACTCTATGAATTTAATCGAGCTTCCGCAATGATTCTGGACAGGCCTCTGACAACCAACTAATATTTTTCACCGTAAAAATTTCCGCAGTGACCAAAATTATATATTTCTACACACACCCCAAACTGTTTGAGGTATCACTCATCCTTTTCACATTAATCATGCAGTGAATCACACATGTGGTTTAATAACCAAATTTGGAAGAACTTTACGGTTCTATATCTTACATAAAATGTGTATTTCTATGCACCTATCCATCCAATCGTGCTTCATGTTTCCATCGATGATATAAAGAAATGGAAAATACTAATCCTACAAAATCATTTACTTAACAAGTAATATAGTAAATATCAAGGGCCGGACAAAATTTTAATCCTTTCAAGTATATTTTTATCGATTCCATATCATTACGCTAATTTCAAAAAATTTGAATGCTATATCTACATACAGTAAACACAAATATGTAACAAACGTCATAAAATCCTGTGCATAAAAGCAAAGAATTGATCAGCGTATCATTATTGTTAGCAAAACATTAATTATTCTCTAATTAAGAAATTAAATAAGAACTTGGTAGTTATTCAGCAATATTGATTGCTACGCCCACAACTTCGAAAAATGTTCGCTGCCATATTTCAAGTGTTTGAGCACAAGTAAACTAAGTGTCAGCATTACAAGTTACACAGGTGCTTTAGGAAGATATATAAATCATTTCTATCATTGCAACTTTGAATAAGTTATACTGAGTAAAAAAAGAATGTGTGCCACAAATAGTTTATCTTCATTAATTTAATATTCACTATTGCAAAAAAAAAATGAAAACCTTGCATTATATCAAATGAGATAACTTAAAAGAAAGTTAAAGTAAGCTTTTTCAATGCAATTTTTTGCTTAATTGCGACTGGCGATTTTTCGGATAAAGCTTTTTATTATCCATAAAAATTGGCTTTTATTTCAATACATAGAAAGTACTTTAATAACTTAGGCATGTCCCTTTCCTATGCCATATTAGTTTTATTCGTGAAATTGACTCTGTCATATCACTACCATTATTTGTTGATATTTCATGGAAACATACAATACCTTATCCGAAAAATCGCCAGTCGCAATTAAGCAAAAAATTGCATTTAAAAAGCTTTAACTTTCTTTTAAGTTATCTCATTTGATATAATAATGCGGTGTTATAGTGCAATAATTCTTTACACTGTTTATTACGGTGTAAAGCCATATTACAGCGTAAGGGTACTTCTAAGCACCAAAATTTTAACATTTCAAAATCATGAATATCTCAGTATGCAATTTTCTTAAAAATACCGTAAGATATGGGAAAAGCACTGAAGTGATTAAATTAGTATTGTTAGTGACTGATAAGAGATTTGATGATAACTGAATTATTAGACAAATTAATATAATGGAGAAAGAAGTAAACAAACAATAATTGAACAAAGGTTTTCGAACTTGAGAATTATTGTAGTTGAAAAAGTACGTGTTAAAGTGGTAGAAATTTGCAAATGATAATGAAAAACAGGACGAGCACTGACGGTTTATTCTTAGTAAATTGCATCATTTTATGATTCATAGGAATAATGAAAGTGTCCAGTAAGAGGAAGGAGGAAGGAGGAAGGACATGAGCAAAAGATTACGAGTCTTTGGGTTGCGTAGCGGAAATTAGAGAGTGATCTGGGATATGAGGAGAAAGGTATGCAAAGATGCTAACGATGGAGATGGTGAGGGAACTCTATCAATAGAGGAATACAGGAGGGACTGACTTAAATGTACTGGTAGTTGCGATTGTCAGGCGTATTGTTGAAGTGAGTTAATTGAATGTGCATGTAAAAATGTGCAAAATACAGTGATTTCCGCTTGATCACTGAGTTCTTGCAGCGTTAGTGACAATCAGTGGGGGTTTATAAAAACATGAAAGTTTACAGTAAGTGAGGGACGTGAAAGATTACATTGCATGTGCATGTTATCCATCAGACATAAGCTTCAACCCTTGCAGAATTGATCAGAAATGAACGAGAAAATGCAATTAAACTATTAGAGAGGACGTAACGTGTATTATATCAATCAAGCTCACTTCCTTATTCTCGAAAGATTTGTGTGCAAAGAAGTGTGATATCATTACTCTTACGTTTCGTTTACTAACATTCTGAAATAGATGGAAGTTGCGGTGTCCGGCAAAACATAGTTCACAAATGAGTCCAAAATGTAGTCAATTCTCACATTTACCGCTATATTATGCAGCTATTTTAATGGAATGACATTAGTTTGTTTTGCTGGGAAGTAACTTTGAGAATAGCGTTTGTTTTCGAAGAAGCATCTCAGGAACAAATAAACTTTTCATCATTGAAAAGAGAAAGAACCATTTGCTTTCGTTCCAAGAGAATGACTAAATGCAATAATATATCTCTCTATTCAAGTCTGGCGAAACTTCAGCTAACATCAGCTGCGAATATCACTTTCTAGCACTCAACTTTACCTCAACTTTTACTGCCATTGAAGCAATTGTATGAGATGTTGATGGTTGTTTCAGTCAAGTGTGAGGTACTAATGAGACAACTAGTCTATTGTTGTTTATTTATTTACTTATTTCAAGCTGATAAATATCAGTCATTACTTTAATTGCTGACAAAATCAATTTGTTTCCTCTTCGTTGAGGTCAGCACTTTAATTGAATATTTTACTGAATCGACTGATGATTTAATGTCAGCTGATTTTTGTTTCTCGTTATTAACCTCTCTTGTAACTTCCTAGTGCTTTTTGTTGTTTATACACATTAGTTAGAATTGTTTCATAAAAATTAGATGAAAATAGTAGCACATAGTCTAAAATAGAAGCACAAAAGTCATTTTTTGTTGAATGTCATGTAGCTTTTCCGTATAATCATAAATTTTAAGCTGTTGCAATGTAAAATTTTTCTATATGAAAAAAAAGACTTTTCTTCGAGTAGTTTTAAAAACATAACGATGTTAATAATGGTAATTAATCGGACACGAAATCATAGTTAAAGTTAATCATGTCTACATGCTCTTGGAAGATAACAAACAGTATTTATTGAATAACTTGTTTTTATCTCATCTGATTTTCTTTAAAAAATTTATTACACATAATTGAATCTTTGCATTTCTGAGTAAAAATTTATGCTTGATTGAGTGTCAAATTTCTTTATAATTTTACAGTGAGATTTCAAAAATTTTGAATTCTAATTTCGAACAGCAAAATTTTTTTCAAAGTACTAGACTGCCATAAATTTGTAATGCTATGAATATTTCTGAATTACTAATTCTTATAATTTGACTTTAATATTTTGAACTAATTACAAAAACTTCTGTTCCATATTTATTCCGCCAGAAGTGTGTAATGATGGCAGGTTAAAAAGTAAAATAAAATAAAATAAATAAGGATAGTAACTGAAGTAAGGGCTGCTGCAATTACATTTGATGATAACAATGCATTTTTCTTCTCGATGTTATTTATGATGAAAGATCAATTAGAAGGAAAATCAAATTTGAATTAGAAATGGCAAAAGATGATGAAGCAGAATTTGAAACAGTGATCAACTGGCAATCTTTGCTAAGTGCAGAAAATGATGCTGATCTCGCCGAATTGCTTTCCTCACCAGTCGAAAATGCTATTACCATTCTCAAGTATATACAGTTGATCGTCACATGCTAAAATTTTTAAATACAAATAGATCATAGTAATTTGTACTTTACATCTTTAATTTTTTATCATAAAATTTAATGCCAGTTCTAAATGAATCACAAATTTATTCAAATGATCACAAATATATTCAAATCATTCATGTCCACAGCTGTTACATTTTTGCGATTTTTTCTAAGCCTTTACTGTACTTCTAGTAGATAAAAAAAACATAGCTGGAATCATCAAGACATCTTAGTATTTTTCAGCAATAACTTCTCTCTAATTTGTCTGACTGAAATTGATCTCTTTCATTCGAGTGCACACAAGCCGAATTTAGTTTTGTATGGCAAAAGTTATCAGATAATTTTCGAATATCCTCATGGGGAATCTAGAGAATTTGTATTTCCGTTTTTCAGGACAGGACGAGAAATCCAGAAATTATCGATAATCCGAACACTGAGTGAATTATTGGAAAACAATGGCGAGCAAGTTGTTGATAAAGTTATACCAGTCCTTCAGGTCTACATTAATGATTACATTTTTAAAATTTGCAATATATGCATGCATGCATATAAGTCATTGTTCCAACTCCTCAATAAAGTACATAAGAGTCTAAATTATTTTTATTTATTGTAATTTAAAATCTCTATCGACTAATGCAGCAAGTGCTCAATGACGAATGCTCGAATTTGGACATACAATGTGAGGCAGCTATTACTTATAAAAATATCTACCGAAATATTGAGCTTACTGCTCGTATTCCGTAAGTTCGTTGTATTTACAGGAATTCCTCTAATTAAATACTTTTCCACATCCAATTTTTTCTCAAATTATTTAATCAGTATTTCTACTGAATAGTATTTGTGAAATACAATGAAAAAGCATTTTCAAATAAATTAGATATGCATGCATTTCAGTTTTACTGAAGTTCCGTCCAGTTTATTTCTTTTGTTTAACACGAACTCACATTTCTCTTATTACCATATTTTCTAAACAGTATTTTGTATTCTCTTAACTTTTTTAGATCATTTGCTGTTAATGAAAAAGATGTTGATATTAGAAAGAAAAAATTGAATTAAAGAAGAAATGAAATTTCAGAATTATTGGCAGTGTTATTCTCAATAGCATGCTACAAAATGCTACACAGCAGAAAGACAACTGTCAGTCTTGCCAAGTTTATTATTTCCAAAAATGATTTGTTACTTAATTTTGAGTTTTTGTCACTTCAGCATTTTTTCCGTATAAGATGAATCGTTCCTGTTTGACAAGCTTCTTATCGATAAATTGACATTAAAGGATTATTTCCATTATATAAATTTTTTATCAGTGGGTGCTTGAAGCCAGGCATTCTTACTATATACTCGTGCACACAATGAGTACTTTTATTAAGGCATATTTTTAAAAATTCATTGATGTTTTTTCTTGTTGTCTGTATTGTGGCGCATGTTCCGCGTATCAATAATTTATTTATTTAGTGACGGCTGCAGCTTGGTTGGAAACACTTGTTGAAATAATTGGTCACATACCTGTTCAACACCTTAAACAATTTGTATTATTTTTTGAATGTTACTTTCAATCTGATGAGTAATTAAAAAAATTGTAAAAATGGTAACAGCAACAATAATAGTAGTAATAATAATGATAATAGCAATATTAATAAATAAAAATTACTATTATTAGTAATAGTAATATGTATTAACTGATATGTATAACAAAAATAATGAGAGCAATGAAAACAAGAACAGTTTTGATACGATAATGAATTGGACATATTAAAGAAATTTAAAAATAAAAGTGTTTTGTTGAAGTATTTGACAGTGTCATGAGCAAAGTAAATACAAGGCATTTGTTATTACATCGTGAATTTTGTTACGTACGAATGTTAAATTTTTCAAATTTTCAATATGTTATTTTGTTAGTAAATCATATGAAATTCACCAATATTGGAAATGAAACTTGCAGGTATTACCATTGACTATTTCACAAGCTCAAACATCGCAACGGGTTCAGCGACGTATATTAGCAACGAAACTAGTCGGTAAACTATGTGCAAATATGGAGCCTACAGAGTGAGATACTTTTTTTTTTGAGATATGATTGTACTTTAAACAATATCACACGGAGATTAATCCTTTTTTGCGGATTACTGAATCTGGCGCATCGTGCTTTGTCAATCTCGCTGCACTCGCCTAGCGCTCAGTTCTGTTGGTCTCTATTGCTTCGTCCTCGTCGATTCCTTGGCGCTGATCGAATGAGATACTTTCAAGTGTCTTCTTAGCACTATCGATTGGATATATGAATCGACTTAATCAGATATTCTGATTTCCTAATTCTTTTCGCGTAGAGCTTATGAAAGTTGGGCACAATCCGATCCCAAATCATCAAGAAATAATTTTTTTCTTGCATTTCATCTCTGACCCCAGTTTGTCAGCCAGTAGATCATACTTTCGCCTTTTCTCGTTATCGACTGCGGTCAACTTGACCAGGCTAGTGATGCCAATCCTTAGCGTTGCTAGATGGTCCACCGTCATATCTTTCTCAACTCCAAATATATTTCCGTCTCGGAGGTAACAGTATTGCGCTTAATCTTGTTGGGATAATGTTTCCGAATCGTAACCATAAAGATGAAGCTTATTCCTCTGCATTTTATATGATTTTACATAATGGATTTTCTTTTCTGTCCCCCTTTACAAGAGCGATTTCTGGGTAGCTGATAGAAAGTTTGGTTGTATCAAGTGTAAAATTATTGCCAAGTATATGCTTATGAACTTCTCCTGCTTCAGAATCGCCGCCCTCTCCGTGGATATGCTCGCCATATCTACAAGAATTGTGTCAAGTTGGAGAAGCCTAAGCTCACTCTTCTGCTCAACATTATAGGTCCACGCCCTAGCTCGTTCCTTGGTAGGTACAGTCTTTCCAACCATGCAGGTTGGTTGTGAATTCCGTATTTGATTAGTACTGTCTGATATCGTGGTCTATAGCTTTGAAGTCTTCCGGCTCCAGCTTGAGCTCTCATTGTAATAGTTTATCCAACTTATGGTGTGCTCATTCACCGCCTTAATAAAGTTCTTGCTATGCAGTGGAGTTTTGAGTAACGCTCAATTCTCACTAAAATCTCTTCTCGCAGCTTTCTCTGGTCAGTGTGCTAATATTGTCTTCCATTATTCTAAAGTATCCATCCTTTTGAGATCTTTCCAGGAACCTATCAGCTCATACCTTGGTAATTTTTCTACTTCCACAAAGGACCTGTATGCTTTAGCCATGGATTTCACCCTATTGTCTTTGGTTGAAAACTGATTATAGTTAAATTATATATTACATTATTATTTTTTACAATTAATAAATGAGACGGAAAAGAAACGAAATAGGGTTTTCTATGTTGGTATTGTTCTTGATTACAATTTGTCCGTAACATGTTATTAATAAGATTCAACTGCTTGCTGAAAAATCGAGCAGTGTGCATTACAGATAAATGAAATTATTTATTGCTAACCGTAAGAGTGACTAAATTAAAGTAATTGTGTGCTGCCAAAACTAGCCGCAAAATAATCATTCACATTTTTTGTAGCCAAAATTAGACTGTGATGCAATGTTTCAGCTTTGATAAATTATGTGGACACTTTTTTTTTTCAGAACTTAATGCGCCTATGGAATTTGCACTGTTTAAAAAACTACGGGTTCCAAAAAAAAA